TGTTGACTTAGGCCTACATGGAGCTCCTTGTAGGATCAGGGCCTCAGACTTTTTATATGATCAGGAACATCTCTAAATTTAGGTATTTAAATAACTATCAGACTACCACAGAAACACACAATGAGCTGTACTAAAAATGTTAGTAAATAAAATTAATAAAAGTATTAATAAAATAAAACTAACATTTATGATTTTTGTTTTACTATGTTACTTGTGTAAAAGGGTCATGATGATGTACCCTAGTTTCAAAGGGTCTTAATAAAATTAAAATATTTCATTATCCTAGTGTTTGATGCATTGACTTTATTGTTGACAGTTTCTATAATAAGTGAGAATGTGTGTATAAGTTTAGAACGAAATCTGTTCTGAATGGCAGAAATTCTCCTGGTACTATTCCACAATGGTTTAGCATACTGTGCATAAGAAAGATAGTTATTTTAGTTCACATGCAAACTTATCTGTAATTTTCCAAGTAAATCATAACAGTAGCAGCCTTAACTGAATTGTCTTACTTCTATTTGTCTCAAAACCTTTTAAAAAACAAAACAAAAAACAATTGGTCCCTGAGTGCTCCTATTAGAAGTACCAAGTCATGCAAGGAAGGTCAGTCCAGTGATTAGGGTGCTAGGACTTTGGGAAACCTGGGTTCAAGTCCCTGCTCTGCATAGATTTCCTGTGGGAGTTTAACTAAGAGCTAGCCTACACTAGAAGCACTGCAGTTGCATTGCTGTAGTACATCTCATGAGGACGTTCTATGCTGACGGCATAATAAATCCACCTGGTCGAGAGGTGGTAGCAGCTCGCCCACCGACACAGCCCTGTCCATACCCATGCTTGGATCAGTGTAACTTACGTTGCTTGGCAGGGTAGCTAATTCACACCCCTGAGCAACGTAAATTATACCAAGTAAATGGTAGTGTAGACCTGGCCTTAGGGAACCATGGCATAGAGACTATCTATAAAACAGGGATGACACTTCTGTACCTCACAGGTGTCTTTTAAAGATAAACACATTGAAGACTGTGAGGTGCTCAAATATTATCATAATGAAGGCCATATAAACATCTTAGATTGAAAAAAATTTATATTAGATACATTTTTAAATTTGAGACACAAAATCTATCCAAAAGTTTATTGCAAGTCTAGAAACTTCTTCACTCTCTGAAACTGGAGGTGTCAGAGAACCCACCGTACCTATTACAGTTGACAGTAATTTATGGCTGTGAAAGTAATAAAAATCCCCCTTCAAGTCTTTTAAAATCACATCTTCAATTTCAGCCCAGCCCTTCAGCACAGTTGTAATTTGAGATATAGTATACCCCTCACATTCCAGGTGAATTGAAGTTTTATGTGAATAGTTTCCATGCTTAATCTGCTTTGTCTAGTCTCACTGTTGATATTCCATCCCCTAACTAGAAATTTAATCAGGTACAAACATTTAACTATCAAACGATTTCAAGATACAGACAAATGCAGACTTTCTACATTTTCCAGTCCGGAAAAAATATTTTATTGCAAAAATAAATTAAAGTTTTTGATACAGTAAAGAAATGCAAAGTTAAATGTGACATTACCATGGAAGCCCTAGAGAAGTCTTTATGGGTGTAAAGGATCTTCTTTTAATTATGTTGGTGTCATGAGATTCTATGTACACTGGATTTATAGCTTGAATACACACAACTCTAAATGCGAAGAGGTTCATATAGCTCCATGTCCATCTTTCTGAAAGTATTGTTTTTTAAAGTCCACTCCTTGTTGGGACAAGTATGAGTAACAGGAAGATGACGGTACTGTGGGTACAGTTATATGCTCTTGATCTTAGACAAGACACTTACCAACATTCTATTCAAATGCATCTGAGTGGTGAGCTTCCTATTTTGGGAATAGGAGTAAGAAGCATAGCACTAGCTGTGGCACCAGGTACTTTAGAAATATGCCCTGTACTTACATCCAATAAGAGTGCATTCATCTACTCTAGAGGTGCTAATGGCATAGAGGACTATTATGAAGTCCACATTAGAAGTGTGTTTGCAACCTCCTTGCCAATCTTAGATCAAGAAAAAAAGCACTGGAGGTCTATGTTGATTCTTGACAATCCTCGAGCAGTAATGACCTTTATTTCATAAATGTTATTTATGGGTAAAGATAAGAAAGCTCTCTTTGCTTTGAATGCATGCTTAACTAGGAATATAAATATTTTCTGATGCAAGCAAGTAGAACTTAAGTCTCATTCCATTAGGGCCAAAGCTTCCTTCCCTACCATTTCAACTGCATATGGGGTGACCATTGACAAAAGTTCTGAGAATAAAGGCAAGAGGCATCCAGGTACTAACAAACACAGCAAATATTTACGAGTGTTATGATTAATTGGTGCTCTACAATATTCAAGTCATTTTTATGTATTGCATATGCTGATTCTGTGTAAGACCTAATTATGATCAAAACTGTTTTCACTATTGTGTTGAGTTAGTCTGTTTTTATGGAAAACAATTTCCATCAATATTCTTTAGCGCAGCAGATCATGAGTAAACAGCTCTTATTTGGGCATGAAAGACAGAGAAAGACATACAACTATACCTGGGTATCTTTGTGTGTATTAGAAACATTTCACTTTCTATATGTGCCAATGTTTTCTAACCACATAAGATTATAGGATATATTATGTGCAGCAAGACATATGCCCAGAAAGTAAACTTAATAGGGTAGAGGGCTGATTTACTTCCATTTTCAGCCTCAGGATGGACATGCCAGTCTATCATTGCATTCAGCATTTTTACATGCAGATTAGTCACTTTCCCAGCAGACAGTAAACTAGTGGATCAGACACTCAATAGCTCTGCTAGCCTGAGCACATTGTGCCCATGAGGGGCTCCTTCCTTTCTCCTCATGGGCACAGTGTGCTCAGGCTACCATTGCTCTCCATTCTGCCCCTCCTCCTGCTGTTTACTGTCTCTTTAAAGGAGCAGCGAACTTAACTTCTAGGAGTGTTCCAGGAGAGGGCTGGACACTACAGGGCAGATGGTTTGGGGGAAACTCAGGACTGGGGGATGGGGTCACACTGCAAAAAGTAACTGGATGGTGGAAGCCAGTATGTGACCTACATGCTTGTAAGGCTGACTGTTTGGTGTCTGGGCTGTGAACCACAGCAGCATAGCATTTAAGTTATCCATAATTGCAGGGCAGGTTGTGAAAACCCCTTAGTGGTCTGGGTTGAACCCCAAAGCATCACAGACCCCCTCTCTAAACTTGAATAGAGGCTGTTAATCTTGTTTTTTTTAAGCATATGGTTATGGAATTAATACTTTCTCTAGTCTCAAGAAAGATTGAGGGCCTCCCCTGTTGGCTTCATATTGCCCTTCCATAGGACAGATGGGAGGGGTTAAACAGTTAGGTGTGAAACAACATTTAATATATAGGTTTCAGAGTAGCAGCTGTGTTAGTCTGTATTCGCAAAAAGAAAAGGAGTACTTGTGGCAACTTAGAGACTAACTAATTTATTTAAGCATAAGCTTAAGTGAGCTGTAGCTCACAAAAGCTTATGCTCAAATAAATTTGTTAGTCTCTAAGGTGTCACAAGTACTCCTTTTCTTTTTACTTAATATATAAGAGCTGTTCAGGATTTTATCCCATGTGCTTCTTATCTAAGTAGCCTCTTTCCCTAAGAATGAAATCTACTATATGTCTTCAATGACTGAAGTATAATTCAGATATTTTTCAGATCTTCATTATTATTTCTACAAAATATCTCAAATATTTTTTAGTCAAACTGATTAAAGTTAAATATTTAGCTTTTATAATAAAGTTACCTAACTCCTCAGATATTTAACAGTTCATTTTGCATAATTCCATGTAATTTCAAAGCTGTGTAAGAGATAGCATTACCTGTCTTACCAATTAGCATCTTTTCAGGTTACTATAACCACGAAATCTAAATTCAGAATGTGCATCCATAAAATTCCGGTCCAATTCCAGCCAAGAGACAATGTTAAAAGGCAAGTGACAAAGAAATTAGAAGTGTATTAATTTACAGACTGCATGAGAAAGATCATTTAAGAGGGCAAACAATTAGAACTGAGAAGCCAACAAAGCTTAAAAATAAGTTATAAAATATTTTACTTACTGCTGAAGAGGGATTCTGTCACGCAACTTTTTGATAATAAGCACTTAACATCTTCAAAGTGTTACACATGCAGCAATAATTAATGTTTAGTTCTGAAATGCCTAAAAAAATTATTGTAATCTTGTTGGAAATAGCCTTCTTAATCTATTCTTATGCTGCAAACTGAAAATTATCTGTTTATATAGGACTTAGCAAAAAAAGTGCTTTTACTCCCGCTTATAGGTGCGGCAAAAGTTAAACACTATTACCAAAGAACAGCTGACATGATAAAAACTGGTCACAGGCAAGCAAGTCACACTAAAGGTTAGAAATAGCATACGGTCACTGTACTAGAGAATGACAGGTTTCAGAGTAACAGCCGTGTTAGTCTGTATTCGCAAAAAGAAAAGGAGTACTTGTGGCACCTTAGAGACTAACCAATTTATTTGAGCATAAGCTTTCGTGAGCGATGCATCTGATAAAGAGAGCTGTAGCTCACGAAAGCTTATGCTCAAATAAATTGGTTAGTCTCTAAGGTGCCACAAGTACTCCTTTTCTTTTTGTACTAGAGAATAGCAGCAGTTGCTAAACCAAATGAATGCTATTGATCAATTTGGAGATCTCTGTACTTTGTTATTTTTGCATTTTATTGAAATAACCACTAAATTTAATGTTCAACAATATTAACAACTCAGATGTCTGATTAATTCTACAACCTTATCACAGTTTTAAGGGTTTGGCGGAAAAGGAATGCATACTACTCAGACCTACAGTTAACATATGAGAAACATTACTGAGAGTCATTCAGCAGCCTCCTCATGGGAAAGGGTAACATTATGAGAACTGTTAAGTGTTTGCATATGTTGTTTTACCTTTGTTCTTTTATTGTCTTATTTCTCACCTTTTACACGTTACTTTTGGGAGCTACTAATTTGACTGCCTTCTCTTTCTTCCTGGGGCCCTATGGGCTCACCCCCTTCATTTCACTCTCTTTTGTTCCTGCTTCAGTGACGCTCCCACCAATCAAGGAGAGCTAGACATGCCATTCTCTGGAGAGAGAATTGTAAGGAGAGTGATCACTTTTAGCTCACACCTAATTGGTTAGTCTCTAGGGGCCCCCAGACCCCCTTTTCACTTTAGGTAAGCTATTACCAACAGGAGAGTGTTCATTTTGGGTTTTTTTTTGGGGGGGGGAGGGGGAAGAAAACCTGGATTTGTGCTGGAAATGGCCCACCTTGATTATCATACACATTGTAAGGAGAGTGGTCACTTTACATAAGCTATTACCAGCTGGAGAGTGGGGTGGGGGGAGAGAAAACCTTTCGTAGTGATAATCACCCATTTTTTCATGGTTTGTGTGTATAAAAACGTCTTCTGTACTTTCCACAGTATGCATCCGATGAAGTGAGCTGTAGCTCACGAAAGCTTATGCTCAAATAAATTGCTTAGTCTCTAAGGTGCCACAAGTACTCCTTTTCCTCCTTTCCCCCCGTCCAGGCTTCCAACTCACACTCAATCATCGAGGGAGCAGAAGCATAACCTTGATATTGAACTCACATTTCTTGTATTATGTAGAGCTGGCTGAAATTTAAGGGGTTTATTCGCAGATTTTGCTACTTACACATTCACTTTCCTTCTGATTTAGAATGAAAGCAAATTTACCAAAAAACCAAAGATCCCCAAAAAATTTTATTTTAGAAACATTGAAATATGGTGCTCCTGAAACAAAACATGAAATTTATTTTGTGTCAGTTTCACAGCTGCTATTCAGGCTCCCAGGGCTGCTTGCTGGAAGGAGGGGAGACTGCCAGCACCCAGAGTCCCAGCTCTATCTAGCCAGGGCTCCAGGAGTTGGCAGATTTTCTGCCTAGCTGAAGGCTCTGAAACCTGCCTGTGTTTCGGGAGAAGTTTAATCGAATCTGTAGTAGATTCATCAAAACATCTCTCTACAATGAATCAGCGCTTTCTGAAAAAATGTTGTGCTGGAACATTTCTGATCAGCTCTAGTATTAAGAGAGCTTAAAAAAGACCCACTCACACCTATTACATAAGTAATGGCTGCTACTATGCTACAACAAAAACTTTAGCGTTTAAGGTAGAAATTAACAGCTAGGGGAGGAGAGGCATACCTTCAAATACAATCACAGCTCATACAGTCTTTTAATTATCACATTGCAAAATGAAAAACCAAACTTAACTCTGCTCTCATAACCACATCAAACTACAGATAAGAAACCCGGGCATCTTATTCTCCATATAGAAATAACATTTTCATCCCATCCATCAGACAGTAGAAAGATTTCATATCATTCTCTTCATATACTCTCAAAGTCCCATTATACTGTCCATATTTTACACTTATTGTATAGGACCTCACTTTCCACCTGTCCATCCACCTCCAACCAGCTCCTAGTCACCCGCCTCAGTGTAACATCATCCAGAGTCAGGATAACCTAAAGGGGATGTAGAGGTGATTATTATCCATCTCACCCCAGATTCAGCCCACTAACCCCTCCAAAACCACATAAGCACATCCAACGCACAGCAAAGCTGCACAGCCAGACCAGGAACACAATTTACAACTCCATCCCTGCCCCAGCCACACAACGTATGAAGCACAGACAACAAACCCACAGTACATACCACTTACCCAGTCTCGGGGAATCCTCAGAATGGAAGAATCTCAAGGAGGTAAAGGCAGAAATGCATGTGAAAAAAAAAAGTTATCAGAGCCTCCCTAGACTAGGAACAGTAACTGCCCTCCTCCCACCTTTTTTTTTTTTTTTTTTTTTAAATACCACCACAGCAATTATATCTGCATGAGACAGACTCAAGGACAGGGCCCTTATCAACAGCAGAATGGCTGGCAAACCTGACGGGGAGAAAGCTTGTGACAAAATGTTTGTGGCATCATTACAGAGGACCTCTCCCCCTCAAAAAATGCAGGGAGTTGGAAGCAGTATTTAAGGACTGAGAGATTGTTGCAGTGGCAAAGGACAGCGTGGCAGTGGCCAGGGAAAGCACTGCCATGTCCAAAAACAGCATAGAAAGAGGGAGATGCAGAGGCAACTCCTGGGGACAACACAAACCCGAAATGCCCTATTGCAGCATTTAACTATTAGGGCAGTCAGCAATACAGTAGTGCAAACCAGTCCCAGCCATATTATGAAGCCCCTGAACAATACAGGCTACAAGGAACAAGAGTACACACCTCCCTGGTGTAACCCCACAGCAGTACTCCCAGGCCATTTCCCTCTGAGACCCAAGCTGAGGGCACAGAGAACAATTTGGGGCAATTAGGACCCCAGCTCATTTGAGCCCTCAATTGCCCCTTGTAACTTCAAACCTCAGCATGCCACACCAGAAAGCCCACAAACCAGAAGAGGCTGAGCAAAGACACGCACTAGCCTGTAAATGTAACCCCCTTCCCACTTTGTGTTGTGCCCTGCCTTGCACTGTTGCACTTGACTGTTTCGTTTCACTGATGATATAATGAAAGGGTTCTTTGTAGTTAGATAATAGATTGCTGTTTAATATATTGTGTCATAATTAAAAGCTGTTTTTCAGCTTTGTTTCAGCTGAATGTTCACTTCTGCTCGTTACATAACAGATTAATAAAAACCTTTTAAAATGTCAAACATTCATATGGAGTTGATGACAGCTCATTTTACACAGAAAATTATGTTTGTACTAATTGATAGGGCTTTACAAACACATTCAGGCAAAGACATTTGGTGCAATAGGGAGTGCTGGCTCTGTTGCACTTCCACCACCCGTAAACTACACCGAACTGAACAAAAGACTTCAAACCCCCCTCCTCTCCAGGAGTTAATAGCTGGATGTACAGCTGCACAATTCAGGCCTGAGCCTCAAAATAAGAGCAACAGGCATCCCTGATAATACTGTCCCGGCTGTTTGCATTTTGTATTGGATGCTTTGCTGGTTGCTCAAATCACGGAGCAAGTCTCTGCACCTCAGCCTCCCACCCATCACTAAGGCTTTCTCCTTTATTATCACAAATATTGTGCAAAATACATGATGCTATAATCGCTGATGTGTTTTTCTGTTGCTTCCAACCTATTCAACAAATAGCACCAACTCCCTTTCAAACAATGCAAAACTTTAGTCTACAAGTCCAATCAGTCCTACTTCTTGTTCAGCCATTTACTCAGACAAATATGTTTGTTTACATTTCCAGAAGATAATGCTGCCTGCTACTTACTAACAATGTCACCTGAAAGTGAGAACAGGAGTTCGCATGGCACTGTTGTAGCCAGCATCGCAAGATATTTACATGCCAGATGCACTAAAGATTCATATGTTCCTTGATGCTTCAACCACCATTCCAGAGTACGTGTCCATGCTGATGACAGGTTCTGCTCGATAACAATCCAAAGCAGTGCGGAGCAATGTATGTTCATTTTCATCATATGAGTCAGATGCCACCAACAGAAGGTTGATTTTCTTTTTTGGTGATTTGGGTTCTGCAGTTTCCGCATCATAGTGTTGCTCTTTTAAGACTTCTGAAAGCATGCTCCACCTCATCCCTCTTAGATTTTGGAAGGCACTTCAGATTCTTAAGTCTTCGTTCGAGTGCTGTAGCTAACTTTAGAAATTTCACATTGGTATCTTCTTTGCATTTTGTCAAATTTGCAGTGAAAGTGTTCTTAAAATGAACAACATGCTGGGTCATCAACTGAGACTGCTATAACATGAAATATATGGCAGAATGTGGGTAAAACAGAGCAGGAGACATCCAATTGTTCCCCAAGGAGTTCAGTCACAAATTTACTTAATGCATTATTTTTTTAATGAGGATGGAAGCACGTCCTCTGGAACAACGGCCGAAGCATGAAGAGGCATATGAATCTTTAGCGTATCTGGCATGTAAATATCTTGTGACACCAGCTACAACAGTGCCATGTGAATGCCTGTTCTCACTTTCAGGTGCATTGTAATTAAGAAGTGGGCAGCATTATTTCCCATAAACAAACTTGTTTCTCTTAGCAATTGGCTGAATGAGAAGTAGGACTGAGTGGACTTGTAGATGTAAAGTTTTACATTGTTTTGTTTTTTAGTTCAGATACATAACCAAAAAAACTACATTTGTAAGTTGCACTTTCATGATAAAGAGATTGCACTACAGTACTTGTATGAGGTGAACTGAAAAATACCATTTATTGAGTTTACAAATATTTGCACTGTAAAAATGATAATCAAAAATAATACAAAGTGAGCACTGTACACTTTTTATTGTGTTATAACTGAAATCAATTATTTTTGAAAATGTAGAAAAACATCCAAAAATATTTAATAAATTTCAATTGGTATTCTATTGTTTAACAGTGCAATTAATCATGATTTTTTTTAGTTAATTGCGTGAGTTAATTGCGATTGACAGCCCTAATTTAAAGTGAAGCATGTGTATGAGTACTGTAGTCCCATTGACAGCCCAGGTGCTTAGAGTGTTAGCATTTGCTGGCCTATTGCTTGTAGTATTTTTGCCATAACTAAAGATGTTAACCTGCTTTACAACTTGTATGTAGAACAGCAGCACAGTGTTTCAGAGAAATATGACATATACCCAAAGGCTAATATAAGATTCCCCCCGCCAAGAGTCCAGGAACAATAGGAATCCTAGCACCCTTTCCCTTCCTCTTCTCAGCAGAGAAAGGAAGGGAGAACAGCTTGTTCTTTCCATCAGGACATCATCCTTTAACAGTGCCCCCACTCCAGCTTTCATATTTGCTCCTAAGTAGCAAGCGCATGAAGTTTTTCAAGCACTGCTTTTACACGAGAAGGATGTCATGAGAAACTATTACACAAGAGCAGAGATACGATGTGTCCCAAAATGAAGTAGCTTGCCAAATTGTACACAATTTCTAATTCCTTCATGCAGCCTCTCAACCACATTGTGTCCTAGAATATAAACTGGTGGGAAAGGAGAGCAACATTTCAAAACATAACCAGCATCCAAAAGCATGTTCAAGTTTCATCAGATTTCAGAACTATCCACTTTAATATGAATATGAAAAAGACTAAATCCTTAATGTAAACACATATTTAGGAATGAATGCAAAGATCACGCCATTTCTTATGAGAGGCTTTTTAGATAAGGGACAGAAGAAAGAACCAAGGCTATTCATTTAGCACTGGTTTAAATAGAATAATAATTGCTGTGTCCTACCTCAGACCCAGGTGATTGTCAGGTAAGTTTCCCCCCCCCTTCCCATCACCTGACAACCACTAAGTATTCAGTACTTTGCACATACACACTAGAGGCCTCCATCACTCCCATCAGTGACTAACTTGATGCTAGAATCACTGCAAAGATAGAAATATTACTTTTCCTACAGTGAGTTTTCCTACAGCAGTGGCAGCCCCAATTAAAGTATCAGAGGCATTGCTAATGTCTTCCTGAGCTAGAATTTCAACCTGTTTGGGAAGAGGGATACAAAAGGAGGAGGAGATTAGGCAAGCGATGGGAAAATCTTCTCAATGGGATACCATCTACAGAAAATCTGTCTCAGAAGTACTTCTAAATCCCTAACAAACCGAAGCACCCTAATGTTATTACTGTTGTTGAGATGGGGGAGAAAGGGAGAAGAGATCGGATAAGCCCAAGGCCACCCCTATTGCTACCCCAAGAGGCACTTGCACCTACACATGAAACAGATACTCCAGCACACACACAGTGAGGGAGCCATGAAGCCAACACAATACCACATATGCCGGTTTCAAGACACATCCACACACGTTGCTGACACGCCGTTGCTACCAGAAACACCTGGGGTTGTGTCCCGGGGACAGCGCCGGGGGACGCTCTCAAACCCATCTCGGAGCCGAACTCGCTGTCCCGGGGCTGGGCTGCCCGGCCACGGCACCGCCGCCCCCCAGACCGGCTGCCCCGACCAGGGCGGCGCAGGGACCGGAGCGGGGCACATCCCACAGCCGGGCAGCGAGTCACGCGCGGCGGAATAAAACTCCCCCCGCCCCCACCCCGAAACAGCAGCTGGCCCCCGCCGGGGGACCGGGCGGCTCGGTGAGGCCTACGCCGGGCAGGGCTCAGGGCCAGGGGCCAGCCCGAGCCCGACCCGCCGCGACCCGCCGCGGGGCAGCCGGCTCGGGCAGCCCTGGCCCCACCACGCCGGGGAGGCGAGGGCAGCCCCGCGAGACACCCGGCCGCGAGAGAAGCCCCCAGGGTGGGAGTGCGGGGGTGACCCCCCCCCCCGCCGGGCAATGCAGCCGGGGGGGGGGGCGTCTCGCTCTCAGCCCCGCAGGGCGGACCGGGGAGGGGTGCACCTGGCTTCTGCCCGGTGAAGGGGGGGGCGGGGTTCTCCTTTCTCTCTCTTACCCCCGCCCCACTCCGTTGTTGTCTCTGAGCCGCAGGAAGCGTGTGAACGGCCCCGCTAGCGTCCCCAGCGCGGCGCAGTTACCATGGGACGGGCGCCCGCTCTCTCTCCGGAAGCCACCGCCGGGAAGGGGCAGGGAGAGATGCGCGGCGAGCCGCCATCTTGAGTGTGGCGCGGCGGGGGCCTCTCGCCCCCGGGCTCTGGCGGGCGCGAAGGGGTTTGGTGGCGCAGCCCGCCCGCCGGTCCTGCTCGGGGAAGGGGCCGCAGAGCCGCTCCCAGGGCCCAGCAGCGCTGACTCACAGGCCCTGAGCTCCAGGCGCCCTGGCCGGGGCGGGGTGGGATGAGGAGCCGAAGGCCGCCAGGCTGCAGCAAAGGGCCATTGGCTTATGCTCATGCTCAAATAAATTGGTTAGTCTCTAAGGTGCCACAAGTACTCCTTTTCTTTCTGCGAATACAGACTAACGGCTGCTGCTCTGAAACATGTCAAGCACTAATTCATTTGAATGAGAGGGCAGAAACAGCTCAATCTGCATTTTAGCAAACACAAGCTGGAGAGAAACCACCCCACAGAATTTTCTTCTGCTCCAGCCTCTGTCCTAACAGCTTGAATGAACTTTCCTTTGGAGGTTAATCTTCAGAAGGATCCATTTCAAAGGTTCACTGGACTATAAAAGAAAAAGGGCAAAGAGCCCCATGTTATCTTTTCACCTAAGATGACAAAGAAACTGAACACTTTAGTCTTTGAGGCGAGATCTTGACCATAGGGGCAGTCAGCTATCTTGCTGTAAGAAGTTTGTGGTAAAAATCTTACCTGATACCCAGACAATACTTGTTAAAGTTTTAGCATCAGAAAATGTATTTTTACTCTTGTTTATAACCCTTTCTAACTTAATTCCGTCTACATGGTATCAGTTAAAATCATATCTCCTTTGGTTAATAAGCTTGCTTTACTTTTTTCTGAATGACTCCAGTGCTGTGTTTGAATTATAAGAACAGCCATACTGGGTCAGATCAAAGGTACATCAAGCCCAGTATCCTGTCATCTTATAGTGGCCAATGGCAGGTGCCCCAAAGGGAATGAACAGACAGGGTATCATCAAGTGATCCATGCCCTGTCACCCAATCCCAGCTTCTGGCAAACAGAGGCTAGGGACATCATTTCTGCCCATCTTAGCTGATAGCCATTGATGGACCTATCTTCCCTGAATCTGTCCAGCTCCCTTTTGAACCCTGTTATAGTATTAGCCTTCAGAACACCCTCTGGCAAGGAGTTCCAGAAGTTGACAGTGTGTTGTGTGAAAAAATACTTTCTTGTGTTTTAAACCTGCTATCTTTCATTTGGTGGCCCCTTGTTCTTGTATTATGAGAAGGAGTAAATAACACTTCCTTATTTACTTTATACCACTCATGATTTTATAGACCTCTATCATATCCCCCCTTAGTCACCTCTTTTCCAAGCTGAAAAGTCCCACTCTTATTAATCTCTCCTCATACAAAAGCTGTTCTATACCCCTAATGATTTTTGTTGCCCTTTTCTGACCCTTTTCCAATTCCAATATATCTTTTTTGATGTGAGGCCACTTAAAATGATAAAGCTGGGCATTTTGTCTCTTCAGAGGACCAAATAAACTATTATTCCTCTGCATGGTCCAAGAAAGGGCTGGAAACTGCAAACCACACAGTTTTGTGAAAATGAAAGACTGGGGCACGTTGTGGTCCTCTTGCCAGGTGTAACGAAAGCTGGTGGATACTGGAGT